CCACGATAGAGTCCGAAGTTCCCGCTGAGAAAGCGTCCGGTGACCAGGGCTCGTCCTCTGAGGAAAGAGCCTCCTGTTGCTCGTCAGACGGTGATCCCGGGACGCAGGAGCAGTCTACCGAGGCGGGATCCTTGTGTGGGAAGCAGCCGGGGAGCTGGGAGGCCGCCTGGACGGGGATGCTTCGCGAAACCTGCTGTGGTCGCGGGTCCCCTCGGGGTGGAAAACTTCCCTCGCCGCCGTGGCTCCCTCATAAAAACGGTCCCGGGCTCCCTGTTGGGGTCGTGTAAACCACCGGTTCATAGAAAGATACCGTTTATTGACGCCTAAAATAATCTGTCAGAAGCTATAGTTTGAAGACGTAAAGGTGTACTGTCAAAGGGGAACCAGCAGCTGGAACAAATATGAGGAAATGAGAGGAAAAATTCTCTTTCCACAGCGCAAAGCACAAAGGAGCTTTTCCTAGTCAGTATGGTGGTGTTCCGATCAAAGGGGAGTATGACGAGGGCATCATTCCTGACAGAAAAAAAGATCCTTGGACAAAAATGGCAGTGGATAATAAGCTGAACAGCAAATTTCGAATTTACACTGGGATTAATTATTTTATTAATCTTACATATACAATACAAAACCTGCATCCTGTAACAGAAGGTTAGAAACCCCACCACCCGCCTGCCGTGACAGTTCACTTCTGTGTGGGGCTCATTTCACCACGGTTTTTGTACCGGCGGGCAGGCTGAAGTTCGCAAGGGAGGAGGGCCTAACCTAACCTAACGCAACCTCCTCTCGTCCCGGGGAGTAAACCTACGGTGACAGCACTGCTGCAAAATATTACTGGTCAGGATCAGCCCGAGCTCGTCCCCATGTGAAGCCTGGAACAAAGTTCTGACAAGATGTGCGGTGCAAAAAGTAAATCATTAATATTTACTGGACTGCTTTTCAAGTGCCTAGAAATGGTGAGTGCAACTCGTTTGCTTTAAAACTATTTTCAAGTATGATATTGTACTCTTTGTGAAAGTAAACTAAAAGTTAGGGTAGAGTCTATCTGACACCCACTTCTACTATGACACTTTTGCAGTGTAGTAACAAGTGACTGAAAAGTAAAATAATATATTAGGACCCGAGGTCTTCTGAAGTCTGTCAATAACTGAAAACTGAATCAACAGATTCAGAGAGGAAAATTAAGAACTAATACAATCTGCATACCTGTACCAAACATTGGTTGCATAAACTTTCTGTTCCTAAAGAATCTCAGAAAGTGCATCATATCAGTAGAATGTGTTTTGAAAAATGTAATGTTTTAAGTTGTTTTTACTAACATTATTGGTTTTCTAATTTTCCAAACGAAATATTTCACTTTGTATTTTTATTTTTTTTTCATATCTTCCTTTTCAGATCTTTTCGGCTAACACAGGTAAATCTTAAAAAAAATTATTTTGGTTTTGCTTGCGTATTTTTGCATCTGAAGACAGCACGTATGTGTGTGATTTCTAATAAAACATTCTGTAAGTTCTACCAGCTTTATAAAGAAAAATTGTTTTCAAGTTTGATTTCGCTTTAAAAACATCTATGTTGATATCTTTATAAATTTTAAACCTAATTTTTAGGAGTCCCAGTTCTGTAGGACACTCACACAAAGATTCTGGCAGACCACTTGTGCCTTGACGCTAGCGTGAACCAGGGAGAACACTCAGACAGACAGACTGTGCTGTTCATTACCTACGTAGCTGTGCTACAAATAGGATTCAAATGGTCGCATATTTACAACAGTTATTTGTATTTTTTAATATAAAAAGAAGGGAAAAAAACCAACACACCAGAAGAATCATGATCTCCTAAGCGCAAATATTTCTTCAATCTCGTATTTTTGTGCCTACAGCTTCTGTTGCCTTAAGTGCAAATACTGACCAGTTTAAAATATAAAGAACGCAAGATTACAAGAAATGCTCTCAGAATTCATTCATCCTCTGGTGATGGTACATGTTCCTGCGTATACTGCATGGTCAAGAGTCTTAAATGCTTAATCGTTGCAGCCACATTGTTGCAGTATCTGGACACTTACTGTAGCATATTCTTTTCATGAGTTGCAAAACAAGCATTTGATCCTATTTGTGTGTGGGATACTGTTGACGTTGGTTGTATATTCGCATACAGATTATACACAGTATTTTTTAAATTAATTAGACTATAAAATATGGGAGTTTTAAGAAAAATAGCCATTGTCAACATGATATGAGAGCGAGCAGCAGTTATTACAGTAATTAAGGGATGACAAAAATGAATGAGGGAAATAACACTCCAAATTCAGTGGAATGCCTAACTTCTCTAATTAGGTCACATCTTGTCAAGACTTAACTGAATTCAGGAATGACTGAAATGGTTTTTTGATTTTTTTATTTTATTTTATTTTTTTTAGGTTTCTCTGTGTCTATATATGATGTGACATCAAGAAGCATTTATCTCAGATGGCCCAAGTTTTCAGGAGCCTCTTCTTACAGAGTCACAGCTACAGCTGTGAATACTGTAGGCCATTCATTACTGGCTCATTTCAGTGATGTTACACTTAAAGGAACTCTAACTTCATTAATTCCCAATACTATTTATGTTATACAAGCAGAAGCCATTGACAAGAATGGAATTATTCTTGCAGAAACACAGATTATGCAGTCAACAGGTTAGTAAGAGAAACTTTATAATTTCCATTGACCTCCGTAGGACTGGGATTTTGTGCTTGATGTCTCATTGTACTTGTAGGGAATAGCTGCTATTCCTGTTGAAGCCTTTTGCTGGTTCTGCTAGTGAGTTCAGTATTAGCATGATTAGCTCCTCTTCTCCTCTGCTTTTTTTGTTGTTTGTTTGTTTTTTTAAATATATATATATGTGCTTACCTGACCTGCCACACACAGCTTGCTCAGATTGTAGCTTTCCAAACCACCTATTCTTTCATTACAAATGCAGTTGTGAAGCTTCTCAGTGATGTCAAATGACAGGACAAGGGGCAATGGGAGCAAGCTGGAGCATAGGAGGTTCAATCTGAACATGAGGAAAAACTTCTTTACTGTAAGGGTGACAGAGCATGGCCCAGGCTGCCCAGAGAGGTTGTGGAGTCTCCTTCTCTGGAGACATTCAAAACCCGCCTGGATGTGTTCCTGTGTGACCTGGTCTGGGTGATCCTGCTCTGGCAGGGAGGTTGAACTGGATGAGCTTTTGAGGTCCCTTCATCTGCTAATATTCTGTGATTCTGTGATTTTTCAGTACTGATGCTGATAAACAGAATTTTTGTTTAATTCACAAAAGTACTTGTAGCATATAGGTAATTGATGGATACTGAATAAGAATCTATTTAAGCAGAAGTGTTTTTTAATTTCATCACTAAAATATAATTGAAAAATAATTTGTTTAAAATCATGTAACTGATATTTTTTAGAAATAACCATTATTTTTCCAGTGTTTGTTTCTTATAAAAGTAAATATTATGATAAAAATCTAAAATAAAAAGTAACAGTGTTTATCCCAATGAGTATAAAAAACCCTGTATTGCTAGCTTAGTTATGGGAGAACAGATATTAATGATTTATGTTCCATAGTTTATTTCTGATATAAATGATGTGCTATATATTCTTTACTTGACTGCTAGGCAAGCAGGTCCCTTAGACTTCTATAAGGATTTCCTGCACATAAATTTTTATGAATTGTTACTAAAAACAGTATTTTAAAAGGAAAAAAGAATCTTAGTGCAATAGCTTGCTCAAAGATCATGAAAGATACACCTGCAGATGTTCCATAAGCATGGTCATGTAGAATGTTTTTATAAATGGGGCAAAAGAGGGTCCATGGCTATAGCTGAGTAAGGAAATGCTTGGGACTAAGAGAGTAGATGTAATGCTCCAGAGTTGTATATAACCATGTATAATAACTTGCTACAGCATCCAAAACCCCACATTGCCTTGCTATAAATAAGTTTGCCTCAAGGTGCATACTTTCATCCCAAATACTTTTCCTACTTCCTTTTCTTAATTTTAGGTGGGATACAGCTTTATTTTATCCATTTTTCCTCTTCTAGTGAGTTTTTTTGAAGCCTTGCAATGTGTGGACTTGTTTTACGTATACTGATTCGAATCTGAAAATCCTGATTACTGAATCTTAATTACTTGTGGTTAAGAAATACACCCTTTGTAGCTACTTTTGTGACTGCAGTACACAACAGCAGACTCTTTCTGAATGGGCTGCAGCATAACGTAATAAAGAAGCATTTAATTGCAAGATTTGTGGTATCATAGTACTGTATATATATTTATATCGGCTCTGAACAGGGGGTTGGATGAGATGACTTCCCATGGTCTCTTTCAAACTAAATTATATGTTATTACGTATAATCAGAGTATAATCTGATACATATTATCAGAGCAATACGTTGCTCTGATACAGAAATGTCTATGATTCAGCATCTTATTTAAGACTGCTTTATGTAAACATCCACTTCTTCCTTGTATATATTGCTTTATATATTGCTTGTATATTGCTTTATATAAACAGTCAGTATAGGTAAAACAGTTAATTCAGTATAGTAAAGCTATAGAACAAGACAAAAAAGAGGCCTCGCAATGCAAACAATGGTCAATAATGTTAAATAATGGTTAAGTTTAATAGTGATTTCAAAGGTACTAGAATATTTTTATTGATAGATGGAAGTTGGTCTAGAATATCTCAAAACATGGTATTTTGTTAGTGCTCATTTACACTGGATTTAACTTAAACAGTCATAGACAGTGTAGGCCATTTGTCCTATACTTTTGTCTTTGTGAACTGCTCAGAGCACTCAGCATTTCTGAGTTCCCAACTTCAGTATGTCTATTGTTATTTCCGTTTTAGCTCCAGACATACCTGTTATTGACCAAGCTTATTCAAAACTTAGCAACAGTATCACAGTGGAGTGGAGAGCAGTACCTGGAGCTACGAGTTATCTGCTGACTGCACAGGATGGAGAGTCCTTTGTTGAAGCTGTAGTTACAAATTCTCCAGGCACACTAATGGGGCTGAAACCTGCCACCTTGTACAGAATCACTGTCAGATCTATAAGTTCAGGAGGAAAAAGCCAGCCCTCACCTTTCAGAAAAGCAAAAACAGGTAGACTTTCACATTATTATTCTTATTTCAAATTCTGTAATGTTATTTTAATATAAAGCATTCATGCAAGCATCCTTTAGAAAAATAATTTGAACAGAAACCAAACAGTATGGCATGTACCAGTACTGAATTATTATAATTTTTTATTTTAAACTGTAGTGATCACTTTCTCCTTTCAGTTTTTGAGGACTAGAATTCAACCATCTGACTTCAAGACCAGGACAAGAGTCTGAATTAATGTTTTACTTTATGACAGTACTGGAAGTTAAATGTTTAATAGAAAGTTTTACTAGAATTTTTATGAATATATGTATTTTATTTTAACAAAATTGGATTTTATTTTAACAAAATACATAACTTGAGAGAATGGAAGAAATGAAGAAACAACTAAAAGTATAAAATAATAAGACAATGTAAAACTTAGAGGATGGGGAATGCAGAATCTTCTTGGCAATTTTCGTTCCTCTGCACGGTCAACCTTTCATACTTTGTGTATGAGTTACACTATTTTTACAAAACCTGTAATATCATAATGGATGCACCAAATTAGTTTTCATATTTATTCTGTCAGTCTTGCATTAATTTATTTTTGTGTTTTTGTTGTTGCGGAATTTGCGTCTCAGAGTTTGGTGGTTGTTGTTTCTGTGTATTCATTTCAAATTTGGCCCTTTCAAACAGTATTACTGAAAAACCAAAAGCTTGATTGGAGTTCTTTCTCAACAGTCCTGGCTGCTCCAGTTCTCTCTGTTATTTCTCCGAGTTGTGACTCCATTGCAGTGAGCTGGAAAGCTGTGTATATGGCAGCTGGATTCTCTGTGTCCCTCATGAGGTCAGACGGTTTGGGCAGAATGCTGAAGGAGAACACCACCAATACCTCCTTGACATTTACAAATCTAGATCCAGGAACTCTCTATACTATCAAGGCATATGCCTGGAATGTCAACGGGATACCTGGAGATGATTTCACATATAACCAAAGAACAAGTAAGAAATTTTCTTTTCTGAAACCAAGTAAGTGTTAAAAAAGAAAAAAAGGTACACCAGGCAGTATTTATGTGTATGTGTGATTGTGTTATGTTTTTCAAAAACAGATTGGGTAAATTTTCATATCATATAATTTTTACCCCTATCTAAAAGTTCATAAAAGCTCAGATGACATGGCTATGTTTAATGAATATTACTGAGGCAAAGATATCATTAACTACCACTAAAGTTGTACCTAGCACAAGTCTGGGTAAGGATTACAGAAGCTTAGGCTGATTTGAGGATTTTTTCTAGCTGTGAGAAGCAAATATCCAAATAAGACAAGGAGTTTCAACAGAAAGCTTTGTGACGATGTACAACTAGAACTATTTCTTTAAAAGAATTATCACTTTAATATGAATGAGAGTAAGGTCTGCACCACAAAAATTGTATTTAGTTTGCAAGTTATGAAAAAGATCATGTCTGTAAGCCATATGCTGAGTTGTATTTATGTGTTCCAAACTGATATACCATAGGTCCTAAGGCACCAGCGGATGTTCAAGTAGCTTTTAATAGCGGTGCTTTAAGAGCTATCATTTCTTGGATGCCAACAGAAGGAGCTCTGACTTACAGTGTGACAGCCTCCAGTGGGCTCTTGAAACTGAAGTGTAACACATCTTCTGCCTCCTGCATGGTGTCATCACTCCAGTGCGGCTCTGAATATTATGTTTCTGTCACAGCATACAATGATGCTGGATCCAGTAAACCTACTGATGCAGTAAGCTTAAAAACTGGTATGTGTCATTGATCCTTAAACATAGCGTATGGCATTTTAACATGATATTTCTTTAATTTCAAGTGTAAGCTAGTCCATTACAATTCACGAGTCGTTCTCAAATAGTTATTTCTACTTCTGAACTTTGTGCCTGAACTGTGCCATATGCCTTTCTACTTCGGGGATAATAGTCTAAATTTTCTTCATATTTCTGTGAGAAAAACTTGCAACTGTGTATATATTGTTGGCTGAACCAGTAAGCCCGCGTCCTCCTCTTACTAGAAGTACCTGTTCTAAAGTCAATTTTCTGAGTGTAGGAATAATGTAAGGAATAGCAATCTGTCCTACTGTGTCAGGTCTGTCACAGATAGGTTGGGAGAGATCTGTGAGAAAGTAGCATTGAGGACTGAGAACTGTTCTAGGCTAAATCTAGTTGTTAGTTAGAAAGAAGGTCAACAAATAACCACATTCAGCTAAAGTTGCACCACTAGACTAAATTAAGATACAAGTACAGACCATTTGGAGGTAGCAGCTTTGCCAGGCCAAAAGGTTACTCATTTCAGCTACTTAGCACCACTGTCACGTCAGGGGTTTTTGCTTCCTGACCTGTTAGATGAACTGCCCTTGTAAGCAAAACTTAAACCATTTTTGTTCTTATGTGCTACCTTATAGACACATTATTTACATAATTATTTGATGTAACCTGCCTAATTTTGATTTCTCATTGGTATGAGTTAGAGATCATCCACATTAGTAACTCAGAAGTGGATCTAATGGGATGAGAGCCTTAAGCAAGAGACGACTTTTAAGCTGGGGGCTGTATTCTTCTCAGCCAACGTTGCTTCAGCTAGGACGTGTATATTCATTCTAATAGCAGTAAGCTAAGCTTTTTGAACTAGAAAGAAAGTAAATGCTATTTAAGCAAAAGCCATGGAGTTTGCAGTTTAGTTCTGGGATGCCAACAGAAAGGAAATCTGAGTGAAGGACAGCTCTGTTCAGACACAGCCAATGACTTTCATACCAATATATAAAGGGTTTTCACATAAAGGCTTTGAGATTCCAACTTCTATTCAAGCTTGTCATCCAAAACTATTATTTGTGAGCACAGACTGCCTGGTGCCACAGGTTTTGTTCACGGGGGCTCCTTAAGCAGATCTCTTTTCTGTAAGACATGAAGGTAGCATCTGTTTTGTTCTGTAACAATCATACTCGCTTTTCATCTAAATGTAAGTAGCATCCTCTGTAAAGGCAGATAAACTGCTGTTTTCTTGAACAAGACAGAGCAACTGTTCAAGCTGAATAGAATAATTCTATATATTCCTGATTTTCCTTTATTCCCCAAAAGTGTAACTTCAATAAGATTTTTGGGTTTGTTTTTGGTTTTGAATGGTTTGGTTTTTTTTCAGTTCCTTGTGCGCCAGTAAATATATCAATTGAAGAGGATGAACCAGGCCACTTGTTGGTATCGTGGTCTAGCGTCAATTTTGGTCATTATTATGTGGTTTTTGTGAAGAGCGATGACGGTTTGGAAGTGCACTGCAACACATCACACACTCAATGCCAATTCCAGTCAGACTGTGGCTTCACTTATTTCATTACTGTCTTTGCATATAACAAGGCAGGGCAAAGTCCTTTAGGTGATGTATTCAATTACACCACTGGTAAGTAGCAATGTACTCTTGCAAATTCATTTTGGATCCTTTAACTGTGTTTATGGTAGAGCTGATTAAACATTTTTATTGGAAGATAATTACTTAAACTTCTATTTTTACTCAATTTTTGGGCAGAACACACAAAGGTTGAAAGAAAAAAAGAACCATTTCACATTGACTTGCTTATTTAAGTGCAACAACATGCTTACAAATGTGAAAGTAGTTTAATGATTCACAATCACAGGCAAGGACATATGAATAACACACAATCCTGGCATAATATTTGAATTCTAGTCCTTTTTAAATTTTTTTTCTTTCCCCTTTCCCTGTTGCCTTGGGAAGAGGTATATCAAAGTCTTAAACTTTCTCATAGAGTTTTCATATTTGGAAAATGAAAAAATATTAAGTTCAACAGGAAATTTTGAAGAACATTGTTATTTAACCTCTAGATGCTTTGAAATTTTAAATCGGGGATATACAGAATTCCTGTGTCTCACCTATACATTAGAATGGCCTCTATTGATTTGGAAGGAGGGGTACTGAATTAGTTCAAGAAGTAAGTCTGGAGTTAATGAGAGCATTTGCACAGTATCTGTCACCTCTGGAGATGTGAGACAAGAAGCACATAGATGAAGGAAAGCTGGCTCTTCGGTTTGTGTCGGTCCTCAGTTCAGGCCCAAGCCCCTCTCTGCCCTGTCTGTCCCCAGCCCCGTGCTGCCCCAGCGACTTCAGGGCCGTGCTCGTGTCCGGCGACACCGTGCGGGTCACCTGGGGTGCTGTCCGTGGTGCTGAAATGTACCAAACCAGAGCAGCCGCCGGCAGCGCCGCCGTGCTCTGCAACGACACCGCCACGGCCTGCACCCTGTCGGCTCTGCGCTGCGACACCTGGTATCACGTCACGGTTTATTCTTTCAGCGAGGCCAGAGGCAGCAACACGTCGTGTGCATCCAAGTACATCGCAACAGGTATTGTGATCGTTCTTATTTTCCTTTAGCAGAAGCAAGAATTTAAACCTAGACACTGAAGCGACTCATGGATGAAAAGCATTTGTTGGAGTGCTAAGTTACTGTAACTGATAAAAACAAAACAAAACAAAAATGAAACAAAAAAAACCAAACAAAAAACAACTGGAAGCCTTTAAAAATACACTGTAAGCAAGTACCTCAAACCAGATTCGGACTGAAAGCTTCTGATAGCTCCTAGATTTTTAAAGTCAGATTTACAACTCATTTCTCATTTTGTATGCAAAATCCTTATGTTGTCAGATCTGTCACAAGATGTAAATTCACACCAAGAGTAAATGTTTAAAGATCATATACTTTTCCAAAGTAGTTTGTCAGTTCTAACTGGAATTTAATTTTCATGTGTCACTTACATAGTATGCGTAATCAATCTGTTTAAATACTGTCAATATGAAATATTTCAGCTCCCTGCAGTCCTGAAATTAAAAACATCTCAAAGGAAAATCTTTCTGCGATCAGTGTACACTGGCAATCTAACAATGAAGAAGCTACATATATTGTCACTGCCAGAGGAGAGGCTGGACTTTGGCACTGCACAAGCTCTGGAAATTCCTGTACCCTAATTAATCTTCCCTGTGGATCTGCTTTCTCTGTTAGTGCTATAGCAAGATCACCAGCAGGACAGAGCTTACCAAGCTACAGTGTCCCTTTAGAAACAGGTATGTGGGAAGTGTACACAGTGGAAAATATTTAGCAGCATACTATTAAAATAGTTCAGTCTCTTTATATGTTTTTTGTCTGGGTTTTTTGTTTTTTTCTAATAACAATGTGCACATCTTATCCTATCTGTTGCTAGACATCGTATGTCCTCTGCTCAAACACGTATGTATCTGTGTGTGTGAGAAGGATCACTTGGTACTTGCATCATACAGAGAAGCCTTAGTGCAACCAATTGTCATCAGGCATAGCTAACTAAAATGCAATAACATTACCCACTGATGTAATGCATAAGTTCCTTGTCAGCATTTTGACTTTTAATATTACCAGGAGAGGCAATGAGGTGATGTCCGTGTCAACAAATAAACAGTGCGAAGAACAGATTAAAG